ATATATATATATATATATATATATATATATATATATATATATATATATATATATATATATATATATATATATATATATATTTCTTTTTGGGTTTGAACTTAACAATATAAAAATTAATTCAATAGTAACTTAGGTCAATTATCATTTTCAAAAGAACTTGCCAACTTGATGCAAACTAATTTTAATTTTCTTTTTAATTACTTAATGACTTTTCATTAATTTATTTTTATAAAATTAATCACATTTTTCGGATTAATTTGTTTTCGACTATTAAGATTATGAAAATTCTCATATTATATGTATTTGGAGATATTCTGTAAGATGCTACATTGTTAAAGAGGAGTATGTCTAGAAGACGTGTTTTAAAATCGTGAGCTTGAGGGTGATACATAACGAGCTAAAACAGATAATATAAGAGTCAGACACCGAGTAGTGTGTTAGTCAAAACTCTGGCCCCCAAAGTAGATTGTGAGCTTTCACATGGATTGGAGAAGGGAACAAAACATTCTTTATAAGAGTGTGGAAATCTCTCATAAGAGAGACATTAGGCTGACGATGATACGTAACAAATTAAAACAGACCATATCTACCATTTATGGAAAAATAAATTCAATAATTTTCTCCCCTCTATTTTATTTTATTAAACGTTAAAATGAGTAGATATAGTTTTTGGTTTCATTATTTAGGCATTGAAAATATATGGGAATTCATTTTTCTTTCAACCCACAGCTGTCACAAAAAATGACAGCTTTTAAATTATTTCTTCTTTCTATTTGGTTATTAATTTAAAATATATTATATAAGTATACGAATGAACTAAAATCATATCTAAATGATAGGGATCCTGAGAATACGATAACTAAGAAAAATTTAAAAAAATTGAAAATTACTATTTAGGTAAAGACAGTAGTTTGTGACCATATCGTAGGGGATTAAGAACAATGTTAGGACCATCTAGATTCTGAATACTGATCTGAATCTTAGGCATGAGTCGTATTCTATTACGAAGTTCTTATATTTGAGTCACTGAAAAAAAAATAAAAATAATTTATAAGTTTAGGTTTAAAATTGAGTCGTTGATGAGTAAGTGGTTCGGTACACGAAAGTGATAGAGGTTAGATTTGTCAATATTCCAACTCATTGTACCAATTGGCCAGCCAACCAGCCAAGCCACCACGGACACAAAGCCGCCTCCGCTAGCCGCTCTTGTTGACAGCGACAATTTAAATTTAATAAAAATAATAATAATTTAAAAGAAAAATAAAATTAAACTATTAACAAAGCATATGTATCTTGTCTTCTTTTCCCACTCCCTTATATTTTCTCTCTCTTCGTGAAGTTACAATATTACCCTTCATACAATTGCTTTATTACACGTCATTCCTTGAGAGAAGGTTCTGTTTGGATACAGCTTCTGTACAACAAATTTGCAGAAAAAACAAAATATAAAATTACCATTTAGTCCTTAATTTTTTTTAATATATTTTTAAAATTTTGAATTAATTTTATAATTTTTTTTTTATATTTTTTAATTTTACCCACTTTCCAAATACAAAATTGAAAGATTAAATTAATTAGTCAATTATTGGAATGATTAATTGACTAATATTATTGAATTTCTACTTTATTAATTATATATTATAAAAAAAAAAAAAAATTGCAATGTAAACCCCACCGCACCATGTGCCTCAATTTGTTAGTCAATATATATATATATATAAATAATTTAAATAATTAATTTTAAAATTGGTACAAAATTGAAAATAATTTAAATAATTAATTTTAAAATTCCGTTTAAATACCCGTTCAATCCTTGTTCTTTTGGGTTGGATTTTAGTATTTTTAAAATGTTTATTTTAAATTATAAATTTTTTTAACATAAATTTACATCATAGAAAAATAAAGGTAAGTTGATTTTAAAATTACAGAAACACAATAAACAAAAATTTGAAAGTATAATAACCTTAAACTAAAATGTAACAAAATTATCATTTTTTCGATTTAATTAATTATTTATAAAAATGATTAATATAAATTCCGAAATTAAAACTCTAACCAAATTAAACTTAAAGTATAGGGAGTGGTCCATAAAAATTGTGGGGGCAAAAGTGTTGGTCTAAGTTATTCTTTTCATGAATTGGAATTTACTTCAAAGTTACCACATTATTTATTTTATTTTTCTCTTTTATTTTTTTTAACCATTTTCAATTTCCATATCACTTTTTTACTTTACCCTAATCATTGCATTAAAATTAAAACTACCCTTTTATTATTTATTTATTAACTTATATAATTCTTACGTAACAAAAATTAAATTGAAAAAAAAAAGAAAATGGCTGCCTGCAAAATTCCAAATTCTTTTTTCTTTTTTCCTTTTTAGTTTTTGGGTTAAAATTAAAAAGAATTATATTCAACAAAAAAATAATGCATTTGCCGTATATATATATATATATATATAAAGAGATTTGATCCAACGTGTTGGATTATGCCACGTATTGTCCCACCGTGGAATCGCCGCCGCTCATCAATGCAACCCCTCTTTTTCCGCTTTTCCCTTTAGAAAAGTCTTGTTTAAATCTCTTAACTAATCGCCTCGTGATGCCTTTTATTTTCACCCACTTTTTTTACTCACTACACACACACCAATTAATTAAATAATAAAATATAATTACCGAAATTAAAAGAAATTTTAATTTATTTATTGCCGGATAAATGAAAATTTTTTTTTTAAAAAAAAAAAGGAAAGAAATTAGGGGAGGAAATTATTGGAAATTTAAAAATAATTAATTGAAGTAGTTGCTGGAGACTGGGTCCTCTCATGGCCCAACTAAGCAAGCTATTGGGGAAGAGAGATTAAAATTAAAATGATAATTAATTTAAATAAGCTAAGGGAATTAAATTAAATAAAAAAAAAAAAAAATGAAGAACGCCAGCTTGCAGAAATTAAAAAATAATTTGAAGAATTAATCAAATGGGAAACTGCTTGGAATTGGGGTCTTAGATGTGATTATAAATATATTACAGTTTCATGCAATTCTAACACAATCACGACGGAAACCACCGGGTTTCTCTCTCTCTCATCTTCACTTTTCTGAGAAATTTGGGCGGAGAGAGGGCAGTTTCTTTTAGCCGCCGATGAACACCCACCGTGGCGACCCCTCTGGGGGTCGTCTCTGGCCACAATTTGCCATGGCATTGGCTGTCCTTCTTCTTTCCGGCAATGTAGGATTGGTTGCCGGAAATGCTTACGTCTACGCTTCTCCCCCACCGCCTCCTTATGAGTACAAGTCGCCGCCGCCGCCTACGACTTATTCTCCCCCTCCTCCGGTCTATGACTCTCCTCCTCCTCCTTACTCACCTGCTCCGGAGTATAAGTCTCCTCCACCGCCGTCTCCGGTGTATGAGTACAAGTCTCCACCACCACCGTCTCCATCTCCACCGCCACCGTACTATTACAAGTCTCCACCTCCACCATCTCCTTCTCCTCCGCCACCGTATTACTATAAGTCTCCCCCACCACCATCTCCATCACCTCCTCCACCGTACTATTACAAATCTCCTCCACCACCATCTCCGTCCCCTCCTCCTCCATACTACTATAAATCTCCTCCACCACCATCTCCGTCCCCTCCTCCCCCGTACTACTACAAATCCCCACCACCACCATCTCCGTCCCCTCCTCCACCATACTACTACAAATCCCCACCACCACCATCGCCGTCGCCACCTCCACCATACTACTATAAATCCCCGCCACCACCATCACCGTCACCTCCTCCCCCGTACTACTACAAGTCTCCTCCACCACCATCTCCATCCCCGCCACCACCGTACTACTACAAGTCCCCACCACCACCATCACCATCTCCTCCTCCACCATACTACTACAAGTCTCCACCACCACCTTCACCATCTCCTCCTCCACCATACTACTACAAGTCTCCACCACCACCATCCCCATCACCTCCTCCTCCATACTACTACAAGTCCCCACCACCACCATCACCGTCACCTCCTCCACCATACTACTACAAGTCCCCACCACCACCATCACCGTCTCCTCCTCCACCATACTACTACAAGTCCCCACCACCACCATCCCCATCACCTCCTCCTCCATACTACTACAAGTCCCCACCACCACCATCACCTTCTCCTCCTCCTCCATACTACTACAAGTCACCTCCTCCACCGGTGTACTCTCCTCCTCCGCCATACTACTATAAGTCACCTCCACCTCCGGTGTACTCTCCTCCCCCACCATACTACTACAAGTCACCTCCTCCACCTGTGTACTCTCCTCCCCCACCATACTACTACAAGTCACCTCCTCCACCTGTGTACTCTCCTCCCCCACCGTACTACTACAAGTCACCTCCTCCTCCAGTCTACTCTCCTCCACCACCGTACTATTACAAGTCACCTCCTCCTCCAGTCTACTCTCCTCCACCACCGTACTACTACAAGTCACCTCCTCCTCCGGTCTACTCTCCTCCACCACCGTACTACTACAAATCCCCACCACCACCACCCGTCTATTACTACAAATCTCCACCACCACCAGTTTACTACTCTCCTCCACCAAAGCCCTACACTCCTCCATACTACCCACCCCATCACCACCACCGCCACCTAATTTTCAAGGTGGTCGGAAAAGTCTATTGCATCCGATGCTATGATTGGGCATACCCCGAAAAATCACACAACAAGAAGCACCTTAAAGGTAATTTTTCAAATTAAAATTTCCCTCTTCAATTTATTATTCATCACATTAAAATTCTGATTATTTTCTTTAAAGCCAATCTTTAATTTCTATTTTGTATCTTTTGTCTTTAATGTCAGCTCATGACTACCACTGTGATTCTTAATTTGGTTACCTAAACTACAAGTCAGAATGTCATAGTCAAATTGCAATACCCAAAAAAAAAAAAAAAAAAAAAAAAAAAAAAAAA